CGCATTAAACATAAGCTACTGCGTCATTAAATCACCAAAAAGTACCAATACATTGCGTAACTGTGTGTTAGCAGGGATAGTGTATATGAAACACAATTATTATGTGTTCAAACTAAAACCTGCTTGTCTTATATACAGGTGCATCTCAATAAATTAGAATGGGTGTTTTGAGTTTATTAGCTGATTGGCATGTCACCATATTCTAATTTGTTGAGATAGTGAATTGGTGGGTTTTTGTTAAATGTGAGCCAAAATCATCACAATTAAAAGAACCAAAGACTTAAACTACTTCAGTCTGTGTGCATTGAATTTATTTAATACACAAGTTTCACAATTTGAGTTGAATTACTGAAATGAACTTTTCCACGACATTCTAATTTATTGAGATGCACCTGTAAACATGAATTTGGAGTTTGTGGGTCACACAATCTAACTCGTTGTTCAGTCTGTTGATGTATGTGACTTATGCTTAAGTTCATTAAGAGTGCCTTACCTAAACTCCGGCACAGAGTAATTCTTCAGACCATAGAAACCAGCGGAGAGTGTTAGCAGCCAGTGCGGCACAAACCTGCCGTGCTCGCACTCTAGAAAGGGCGCAGACCACTTGACGTGACTTCTGTCCAGAAAATAGTCGCCCTGCGCTGCTGGAAACGCTCGACTTTTTTCCAGCCTCTGGGGTCTCTTTCGGTCCCGAAACTCGTTGTACCAGTCGGACTCAGGCGTCCTGTTTTTAAGGCGATGGCGCGCGGTGTTGGACAGATCTTGAAGCACTATGCGCTCCTCGCCTCTGGTCGCCTGAAGGAACACCTGCGGACCGGGCGCCTCAGGAGACTCCGTGTGAAATGTGAGCACCGCCCGGTGGATTTTAGGATTCCCTTCCAACATACTCGTCACGAGCGCGTGGTACCACTGGATATCCCTCCTCGGATGCTGCTCCCTGGAGCTGTTGGACTGCAGGAGCATGTTTAGGAAGTTGGTGGCGTGCGTCATGGTGTCGAGGACGCCGTGGAGGGAGGAGTGCGAGGCGGCATGAGCTCCACCGCGGAGACTGCTCAGCTCATACCGCCGAGAGCAGCTGACATGCTCCAGGGTGGATGAGTCCCCCGTGTGCAGGAAAGCGGTGACCACCCGCGGCAGATCCTCCTCGAGCTTATGCGCCACCGCCGTCCGCTCAGTGCTGGAGATGGTCGGTTGCTGGTGCATCGTCTCCCCGGTGCTGTAAATCGGGTATTTTGCCTTGATTTCAGGATCTTTGTCATTTTCAGACCATTCCACGTAGCCGTAATTCGATCCCTTCGCAATTCCAATTAGCAGAAGAAGGTAGAGCAGTAATGCATCCATGCCTCGACGCCAACGAGGACCGTGAACGTTCTCCATCGACGTTCACTTCATGAGTGTGTCCATTCCTCAGCTCAGCGTAAACAGGCGTGCGTTCTCCAAAGTTACTCAACTCTAATGGCTCAATCAGACAAATCCACACACCGACCACGCCACCCACATCTGTGGATCTAACGCGTCAAGCCTCGGTAGATCTTGGAACGACTTGTGGCGGGGGGCTGATTGTTTCTAATAGAATCTTTCCCTCGTTACTGTACTGCAGACATGTGAATGGCCATTGCTCCTGTCAGTCTTGTGCACTTGGGTGGGGTGAAGAGAGACAAGGGATGCTGGTACGAGATGTTCTCATGGGCATATTAAGCAATCCTTGTCCATTCTTCTCCTCCATAATCTCATTGATATTAAAGATGCATTATTTTGTATGCTAAATGTTACATTATTGTTAGGGCAACATTAAACCTGCACTGTAAAAAATGCACCTGAAAACTGTAAAAATTTGACAGCAAAAACGTGTTAATTCTTAATAGTTTCTTTACAGTTTACGATAAAAATGTACATGATAACACATAGTTTTACTGTGAAATATTAAAATGTGTTTTTAAAGATTGAAGTACCTTATAATTGCTTTTAGACCTATGTGTTTTTGTATTCACTGCCATTGCCCTGCTGATGGTCATAAATATGCTGGATGAGCAGAAAAAGTCATGTGATTAAAACAGGATACATTTACAGTACGATATTAAAGTAAAAAGTACAATCGGCCTTATATGAGCCTTACGTGGGTTTATTCTCTGTTTTGTTATCTGTTATGTGCATTAAGATGTTTATGTGGCATTTTATGTTGTTTGCTGCATAGCACTTTATGCAACACAGATTGTTTCAAAGCAGCTTCACATTAATAAACAGAAAAAATAACAGTGTTAATGTCTTAAATATTCATCAATTATGAAACAAATTCAATTTGAGCTGCAAAGCAGCTACAGCACATAAGTGTCATTATTCAGCTCAATTCTCAAATAATATAAGATTAGTCCTCTATCCATAATATTGATTTCTCCATTTAAAAAGTCGTCTCATCTGCATCAGGAAAGAAATATGCAGATATAAAGCACTGTTTACAAACAAAAACAGTCTAAAAACAGCTCTAAACAAACAATTCTGGCAGGTCAGGTTAGTCAAGCTCGCATCAGCTGACTCTCAGCTGATCCCCATCTACCTATAGGAATACGACACCTATATAAGCATTCATATATAAGGTCCCTCAGTATTATCAGCAGTTTTCGCATTGCTCAATAGCTAATTATCCTCCTCCATCCCCAGCTCCTCCTCTGTCAGTCAGGATTCAGCCTTCTGATTATCCTTTGAATCAGACTAATTCTAAAATGTGTACATAAAATTATTGAACTTTAACGATATCTGCATACATTTATGTTGGTTCTGTTCTGTTTACCCTGGGGGGGTATCGCTGCTCTCCCTGCTCTCATCCATGCTAGGCTGCATGGATGCGCAGGGAGTTCTTGCCCAGAACAGAACCATACCGCCAATCCAAACTGTATGCTAATTGTCAATCATCTTTGACGATAGTGGTCCTGACAGAATTACTTTTTTGACAGGAGGAAGCATTATTATAGATTAAGGACTCAAGCGATGGTTTAAAGTTAAAACGTCTTAACGATGGATTTGTTTCTTACAAACACGCAGCTTTTTACTTCAAAGATGTTAACTGATGGACTGGAGTGGTGTGGATTACTTGTAGATTATTGTGATGTTTTTATCAGCTGTTTGGACTCTCATTCTGATGGCACCCATTCACTGCAGAGCATCCATTGGTGAGCAAGTGATGTGATGCTACATTTCTCCAAATCTGTTCTGGATTTTCTGTATATTATGGGATATCAAAAGATACCAAAATATCCCTACAAGGACAGTAAAACCTGAAATCATCTATTGCCAGGAGCAGTAAACGATCCCCTCGAGGAAAATGGCTTATTAGGCACTAAACAATATCTTCATAAAAATATCATTGGCTCAGAATAAAAGCAACAGAAGTCATATACAATAATGTGAATCTAGTACACGCTTAGTATACTGCAGTTTTGTTTTGTTTTAAGCACATTATGACACTTATTTGAGACTGGCATTTCACCAACACCAAAAAAATGGAAAGGGAATATGACTTAACAAATGACACTGTAAATGGTTTGTACAGCTTAAATAAACAGAAATTGACATTTCTTGTGTGGGAAAAAAGTTAGTGCACACCTACATGTATCACTAGATGAAATATGAAGTGTCTAAAATTTGAGCTAAGTGCAAATCAGTAAAACATGATTAAGGCTACACTTAAAGGCCTATAATGTAAATCTCTGTACATCAGTCTGATTTCATCAAGCATTGGAGTACATGGTACCGTGCCAAGATCAAAGAACTGCCAGAGCCCCTCAGAAGAAGGATTGTTGAGACTTATAAGTCTGGTGAACCAATTTCAAGCTGTTTAAAACCCACCTGTACAGATTTGGTCTAAACTGGATGTCAGCAAGGAAGAAGCTTCTTAAAATAGAATGTCAAGGCAATATTGAAGTTTCTCATCCAATGCCTCCACCGTGAGGAACATGAGCAATGTGGCCACAAAACCTCATGTTTGATGAAAACCAAACATTTGAGAAAAAGAACCTCATACCAACTGAAAAAACCGAGGTGGAGGTGCTGTGGTGGAAAAGTCATTGTCTAAAGCAATTTATTGCAAACCAAAACAGAAACACAACAATCTACATTACAGCAAAGATTACACAAGAGCATATACAACAACACTAAAAAAGTGTTGTCATCATGTTTTTAACATGCAAACCCAATACTGAAAGCATCATTTACAATTTGATGAATTTTGGTTAAAAATATATAACTTTTGAAATAAACATGCAAATGCATAACAAAATAAAAACTTGTCATGTGATCATAAAACTACAAAAGGCCTTTAAGATAAAAGTGTACTGTAAATCTGTAAATAAGTGTTGTTTTCCTAAGTTTTTCTAACAAAAAGATAGAAATAAATCAAATAAATAAAAAGAAAAGAAAATATTATTTTAGTTTTTTTTCTACTTCAAAATTTCAAGTGTGCTTGCTATTGAAATTTATTAGCAATTTCTGAATAGTAACTACAGTGATTTGAATGACTAATATATACAATTATTAACATATCATTTAACTTTTATAATCTGTATGGCCAAATGTATGTGCAATTTACAGGTTCAGCTATTCCAGTCATTTGTGTGAAGACAAGTTTTTGCAACCAAGCAATTAGAGGCTTTATGGGAAAAGCACCAACAATCAGTTAAATACAATACTGTAACTAATATGATGTATACTATGGTTTAAAGTGGACTGCATTCAGTGAAAAGGAAACAAACAGACTGTTTTCTAGGCTAGTGATATGGGATCTGGGAATATTATTTGTATTGTTTGGGGAAATAAGTTAACTTCAGCTACACGTGTAATGAACATGGATTGCACTGAACCCAAACTGTTGTCCCTTGCACCCACATACCGATGCGCCACGCTCCGCCAGCAGCGGTGACACCCATTGTGTGCACTCCCGATGACGTCATGGCGAGTGTCGTCATCAGCACTACAGAAGTGTGCGCGAGAAGAGTTCGATACATTCAACGAGCTGAAAGAATCCAACATGGCAGGACGGGAACGCAAGCAAACAGACTTGGATAAAGGAATTGTGGTTTGTGCGCTTGCAAATAAATTAAAAGCATTTGAAGTTAGTGTGCAACCAAAGCTGGCGGATTGTACTTCATTGTAAACTTTGTGACCACTCTGTAAAAGAAGCCAACACGCAGTTGCAACTTTGCAACACGTGAAGAAAAAAAAAAAGCATATATGTCTCATCTCAGCTCAACTCGGCTGTGCTTTGCAGATCCCGGATGACTGGCCCGGGTACCCGCTGGACCTGTTCAACTCTCCCGAGCATTACTGCGAGGATCTGGAGTGCGTCTACATCCCACACGGAGTTATCATGGATAGGTACTGTAAATGAAATGAAATTAAGAGTAATCTAACCACTTACTGATGACGTCCACCGTGCAGACTGTTGAAATCATTCTGCTATTACAGGTTTAAATGAGATTTTAGATCTCAGATTTTTGGACCCCACCCCACTGCATAGTCTATGAACAAGTAAAAATGCATATTTTATTACTGACTTTATTTCGTGCTGTATGTTCATTTTGAAAACATTTCAGCAATGCATTTGACTTTGTAAAGATTGTACTTTTTTAGATTTTAAATATTTAGAACTACCGTGATTTACAGCATAGTGCCTAATTTATACTGAAATCAATGTTTCTTAATGGACCTGGTAAAGTAGTTTTGAGATGAACATCTTTTTATTTTTATGCAAGCAAATGTATGCTAAAATTGTGTGAGAAATGGATATATGTGAGAGATTGCCTTTCCTTTTGAAAAGTTAATAATGACAATTCATTTGCACGAGGATTCATTTTGTAATTACACTACAATTATCACAGGCTTTGGATAAGCTTTTGCATAGCATGCTGGTTAGCGAATCGTTTTTAGTCTTGATTGCAAGTTTCACCAGTGAAATCAGCTTTTTAGATGGAATTTCTATCGTGTTTTTGATACCCATATTAAAGGATCATAATAATATGAGACAAGAATAAGACGCATGTAAGATGCCACTTTGTCATTAGACATTTCTACAGGATTTTTAAAAATTCCCATTGTAATCTTTATTTGTTCCAAAACTTGTTCTGTTGGAATAATGTCTTTGTACTGGACAGTTAAATGAAATCTCTGTAAAACTGTACAATAAGGTTCCATTAGTTAATGTATTAACTAACATGAACAAACAATACTTTTATTACAGTATTGATTCATCTTTGTTAATGTTAGTTACAGTCGCTCATTGTTGGTTCATATTAATTCACAGTGCATTAACTAATGTTAACAAGCACAACTTTTGATTTTAATAATGCATTATTAAATGTTGACATTAACTAAGATTAATAAATGCTAGAAGTATTGTTCATGCTTAGTTCATGTTAACTATAGTAGTTAACTAATGAACCTTATTGTAAAGTGTTACCGAAATCCCACAGGAAATTATATTAGTCTTAATAGTCATATTGGGACCTATGTGTTCTAAAATAATACTTTTGTCATTTTTTGTCTGAAAATTCCCATTAGGATCAGGCATGGTTCTAAGAAGGATTATTTGACCAGTAATGACAATGAAGCATGTAGACATTGCGTTCATTTTTTTCTGACAATTCAGTATGAAAAACAAACACTTTTTGGATCAATATAGACAAATAGACTTTGTTGTGCTATCATGGGATTTTCCAGGACAGAGAGACTGGCCAGAAATATCATGGATGATCTTGGAGATCATGACATCGTGGTGCTGTGTGTGCTGAAGGGAGGTTATCAGTTCTGCGCTGACCTGGTGGACTGCATCAAAGTCCTGTGCCGACACTCCAACAAGACCCTTCCCATGAGGGTGGACTTCATCCGGCTCAAGAGCTACCTGGTGAGCACCCATGGAGTTTAGTGCTTTTGAACTCTCTGTTTCTGAGATTTTCTTCCATAGATGTCGTTTTTCCATTTTCCTCAGAATTTGAATGTAGAGCAAATTTAAAATGATTTTCCTAACATGCTAAAAGAGCATGAAACTGCTTAGATCATGTGATGAATCACAAGTTTCTTTCACACTTGTGCACGTGGACACAAATATTTTCTTTTACAAATGCCACTTTGTGATTTTCTCAGCATGCCTTCATGGTCATAATGAGTCTTGGCTTTCTTGCATGCAAATTGCTGTGTGAAGCCAGACATGCAACCAAACCTGATGACATTTCTGATTGTTATCAGTGTTTGTGCTGCTTCATATTTTTGTGGAAACCATGATGATACAGTTTTTTAAGTTCCTTTGATTAATAGCAAGTTAAAAAGGACCAATAAGTCACTAAAGTGTCTGCAAAGGCCTAGAGTAAAATAGTATATCAAAAAATATATTAGTTTAACATGTTATGCTATGTTTAATAAGTGGTATATTTTTGCTCCAACATTTTAAAAACCTGAGGCATTTTTGTCAGTTTCAGTGGAGTTTGTTCTGATTAAAGGGTTAGTTCACCCCAAAATGAAAATTCTGTCATTAATTACTCACCCTCATGCCGTTCCAAACCCATAAAACCTTCGTTCATCTTCGGAACACAAATTAAGATATTTTTAATGAAATGTGAGAGCTCTCAGACCGTGCATAGACAGCAACGCAACTGAAATGTTCCCAAGTCCAGAAACGTAGTAAGGACATCGGTAAAATGGTCCATGTGACATCAGTGGCTCAACTTCAGTTTTGCGAAGCTACGAGAATACTTTTTGAGCGCAAAGAAAACAAAAGTAACATAATTTATTCAACAATTCTTCTCCCCCGAGTTACGTCTTCCGCCATTTTGGAGAGTACCCAAGAGCGTAATCGACGTAATCAGCGTTGTTTACGTTCGGGGGAGAAAGCGCGCACTTGAACGTAATCTGCGTAATCAGCGTTGTTTACGTTCGGGGTAGAAAGCGTGCACATGAACGTAATCTGCGTAATCAGCGTTGTTTACGTTCGGGGGAGAAAGCGCGCACATGAACGTAATCTGCGTAATCAGCTTTGTTTACGTTCGGGGGAGAAAGTGCGCACATGAACATAATCAGCGTTGTTTACGCTTAGGGGAAAACATGCGTATGCGTTGTGATACTCTCCAAAATAGCGGAAGACGTAACTCGGGGGAGAAGAATTGTTGAATAAATTTTAAAATTTGTTTTCTTTGCGCTCAAAAAGTATTCTCGTAGCTTCGTAAAACTGAAGTTGAGCCACTGATGTCACATGGACTGTTTTACCGATGTCCTTACCAGTGTTGGGGAAAGTTACTTTTAAAAGTAATGCATTACAATATTGCGTTACTCCATAAAAAAAGTAACTAATTACGTTACTTGGTTACTTTTTATGGAAAGTAATGTTACGTTACTTTTGCGTTACTTTCGCATTACTTTTTAAATATGAGCAGGGCTTGATTGTTTTTAATATAAGAGGTTCTATTTATAGCAAATGTAAAAGCCCTTTCACACCAAAAAGTGTAATGAATAAACCTCAGGCTGAAGCAAAAGTAAATTCACATCTGTACAGTAGAACACAGGAGAAGAAGGTTCAACACTCTTCAGCAATAAAAAACAATGAAGCACAATTGTTAGTTTATCTAAAGTCATTTTTGCTTATTAGTACGGTTGAACTGGATCATCAAAGGTCAGCAGCAAAGACATTGGTTAATAAAATGGGATTAGATACATTTGTGTTATTTAACATATTTAATTATTGCAGGTTTGAGTCATATTCTGAGTTTGCATTTCACTGTTTTAATTCATTTTGATGAATACAAAATCAGTTTTTTTTGCGAGTGGGATGAATTATTGCACATTCACATTTAGTCTAGAACTACAGTAACATCATGTTCACACATCATGTAAATGGGAAAACAAAGTAACTGGCGTTACTTTTTTGAAAAAGTAACTCCGATATTTTCTTGTAAATTAAAAAGTAATGCGTTACTTTACTAGTTACTTGGAAAAAGTAATCTGATTACGTAACTCTATGCACGGTCTGAGAGCTCTTACATTTCATCAAAAGTATCTTAATTTGTGTTCTGAAGATGAACGAAGGTGTTACGGGTTTGGATCAATATGAGGGTGAGTAATTAATGACAGAATTTTCATTTTGGGGTGAACTATCCCTTTAATGAAATGTGACTGTTGTTGTTGTTGCGTGTTGTCTGTATTTTATGTATTTAGTCAACAGAGGGCGTTGTGACTTTATATTCGTCCCACTCTGTATCTCAGCTCAGCCTAGAGATTGTGAAGTCAGTTATCAGCTTTGAGGCTCTGTTGACATTTTTCAACTAAAGCCTATGTTTGTTGAACCCAGGTGGATCTAGGATAACTGGCATTTATTGTACGCTAAATCACTTTGTCTGGAAAGCATCCACTTAATTTAATAATAATAGTTTTGACACTAGATTGATCTAATGTCTTGGCTCATTTATAGTAGATAGTAAGTCTTTCCAGACGCATTGGTCGAAGTAAATATGTACTAAATGTCATTTTTTCCTTTGTATTTTCATTTTGATTCGTTTTTTTTTTTTTTCCTTACGATGAAACGATAAAATATAATACTTGATTTCACTCCAGAATGACCAGTCAACTCAAGATCTTCACATAGAAGGAGCAGAGAACCTGTCTGTGCTGAGTGGAAAGGTAAAGATATTCTCAGCCGCCTTATGAAACCTGGCCATATAATGTCAATATGCAAAAAAAAAAAAAAAGGTTCTTTGTTTTCCTTATGAGAAATATGATGATTTTTTTTTTCTTTTAAGTTTTTGACTTTGTGGTGAAATGTGACCTGGACATGTTTTTTGAGATTCACCTATTGAATTGTATTTAAATGAACTAGGCATAATTTGCTAGTTAGGAGCACTGTGAGAGAATGTCATTTTTCTCTTTTGTGTTCTTGAAACGTTTTTGAAAGGTAAATGCTTAAAGTTGACTCGTCTGTTTCTGTGGAATACACAGTTTTACAGGTCAAATGTTTGCAAGCAAGACATGCAAAAGACACACACACTGATACAAACAAATACACACACACACACACACACACACACTGAGACGCACCATAGCATTCTATTCCCATTCATATAATTTCTGTAGACATATCCGTGGAACTATTTTTATTTGACTTAAACACTATAATCTAGAGACAATAACAAAGCAAAACAAGTAAAAAGAGTTATTGTAAAAAAAAGAAAAAAAAGTCATCGTGATGACTAATTTAAATATGCATCTATTTTCTTTTTCTGTATTCTTTCACAAATATTATCATGCCATTTTACAAATTTCCCTTCATTAAAACCATTTTATAATAATTATACTATTATGTCTATATAATTGCATTAATTTTATTTAACGGTTCCTATATTTTTTCTAAATTCTTTAATTGTATTATTAACTCTAATTATAATGGATTTTAAGTTCAGTTCCTCTCTTCAGTTCCTGGTTAAGTGCAGTGATTCTGAATATGTGTGCGTGTGTCTTGTGATAGACATGACTGAGAGGTTAGAGTTTGTAAAGGTTTATGATTTCTAATTCTTCAGTAAGAGGATTGATCTGCTCCGTTGCTCAGGTAATTGGATTTTCCCAGCAGAGCTCAGGATTGTGATACAGTGAAACACACACAGTTCTTCAGTAAAAGATCTTTTGTCTTTTTATTTCCCCCTGAATATGAATTCTCTCTGTTTTTAACTTGGAAATAAAGCAGTTTTTTTCTGTTTGTTTGGTGGTCTACGCACAATAATAAATAGATTTTATACAAATTTTCTTTGTTTTTTGTTAGAAAAAAATGCATCCAGTCTAGCTCATGGGTAAATCTAATGAAAACAGGACAAGCTTTACCCCAAAAGAAATTATATTAAAAATATTTAAGCACAAATTCTCATTAGTACAATGCATCCAGATGGTTTACTTCCAAGTCATTTTTGTAATTCGTATCATTGCCAGTGCTGGATCTCATCACTGTAATTCACTTTTGCCCTTTTCCCACCATTATACTGACCTAGTCTGAGTACTGTGCTAATTTTGCGTTGTTGTTTGACTATGTGAGTTATTTTTATGTAAGTATGTTGTGATGTTGATATATCCTGAGCGTTCAGTGTCTCATCTTCTTTGTGTTTCTTTACATGTCCTGAAGAACGTCCTGATTGTGGAGGTACGTCTGCTGTCTGTCTGGATAAACTCACTCCCTCGATCACTTTAATATCCTTCCAGATGCTTTATTCTTCTGCTTACTGTCCCGCTCTCTCAATATGCTTGAACATTTCAGAGGTCAGTCAATCATGTACCATTTTGTGCCTCTGTTTATTCAAGCAAAAAAGCTGCATTTATTCCACGTCGCTTAGAAGCAGGATGATCGTTTTTAGTCGTGAATGTCAGTTTTTCAAACTTTCTGCTTTTAATGATGCCATATGTTCACTACATTTAGCTTTGATTTGTTGTTAAATAATAAGTTAGCGTAATACATTTTATTTTTCTTTGTTTACAGTCTGATCCAGCTACAAAAGTGCAACAGTACAATATTAACATTTCTCTAAAAATAGCGGGGCCTACGTTAAATATATTTGCATGTGTAAAAATTCTATAATATGTGACCCTGGACCACAAAACCAGTCATAAGGGTCAATTTTTCGAAATTGAGATTTATAGATCATCTGAAAGCTGAATAAATAAGCTTTCCATTGATGGCAAAGGATTTGTTATGATAGGACAATATTTGGCTGAGATACAACTATTTGAAAAATCTGGAATCTGAGGATGCAAAAAAATTAAAATATTGAGAAAATCGCCTTTAAAGTTGTGGTCCAGGGTCACATATAATACTTTTATTCAACAACGATGCATTAAATCGATCAAAAGTGACGGTAAAGGCTCTTACAATGTTACAAAGGATTTTTATTCCAAATAAATGCTGTTCTTTTGAACTTTCGATTCATCAAAGAATCCTGGAAAGTGTAAATATTAAGCAGCACAAATTTTAATATAATAGTAATTGTGAAATATCACTATTTTGTTCTGTATTTTTGAATAAAATGAATGCAGCATTGGTGAACATAAGAGACAAAAGAGATTTTTTAATGTTTCAAAAACATAAAAAAAAAGCTTACCGAGCCCAAACTTTTGTCCTGAATAACTTAACATAACATAACATAATGCTTTTTGCAATTATATAAAGGAATGAAACTTATCGTTGATTTTTTTTGTATCTTATGGTTGAAAACATAGTACATTACAGTGAACTCCAGCATTCTAGTGTTTATTTCGTGCCTCTGAGATGTGATGATTTCATGCAATGCCAAGACGACTTAGATTCTGTCATGTGGGCTTCTTATGCTGATAGTGTGTGACAGCCTTCATCTCAGCATCCTTCTACCCACAGGCCATCGTGGACACTGGAAAGACCATGAAGACTCTGCTGGATCACGTTGAAGCCTTCAGCCCTAAGATGATCAAAGTAGCTGGGTGAGTCCACAGACTGATAGACTAGTTCAGACCTGAGCTCTGTGTTTGTGGAGTCACCTTCTTTAGCCAGTCAGTACAGTAGAACTGTGTGTGTGTGCTGACATGTGGATATTTTTGATAAAGACGTGCACATATCGAGTGTTTTCTGGGCCTTGTTTCGTATCTGTCACAGTTTGCTGGTGAAACGGGTGCCCAGTGGTACAGGATATCTGCCAGACTGTAAGTGATGATTACATACTCTACTGCATACTACATCTAAATATCTGTGAATAATAATGTACCAATATAATATATGGTAACACTTTATTTTGAGGACCAGTTCTCATTATTAACTAGTTGCTTATTAGCATGCATATTACTAGCATATTGGCTGTTTATTAGTACTTATGAAGCACATTTTAATAACTTATTCTACATGACCATATTTTAGGTCCCTTAATCCACCCCATACCTAAATTTAACAACTACCTTACTAACTATTAATAAGCAGTTTATTGAGGCAAACGTTGTAGTTAATAGTGAGAATTGGACTTTAAAATAAAGAGTGACCTAATAGACTTTTAACCCTGTAAAGCCTACTGTATAATATTTTATACACAAAGGCGTCTAAATTAGGAATATGATCAAACTGCTGGAAAACCTGTACACAATCTACTCTGAGCCTTCTTTGTAAAAAATGTCCACCTTAAGGTTGTGGTTCACATGTGGTTTTGCTGTGAAATCTTTACTGATTTGAATAAAGTAAATGTAAGAATAACTTTATATATAGACATATTTCAAGATAAACATTTACTGGACTGAAGCAACTTAAATGATTATCCATACATCAATTTTTAGAAAAATCATGTTAAAATGTCAGGATCAAATATGATCCATCAGGCAATATCTCAGTTGAATTGCATTGCATGGTTTGCCTCAATTAAAACTACAGAGATCTGAACATAAATATAAGCTTTTAAATATCTTAATAAGAGCGATATTATTGGGAGATACAGAGCAACAACTGATATTTATATGCATTTTATGTAAAGATTTGGCTATACTGTTATAAGATCTCATTGAAATTCATCTTACTTTTTGTCCATATAAATGTCTGCACCAAGTTGCGTATTTTTGAATCGAACTCTGTATAAAACTGAGGGTTTTTTCTCCTTGAATATGAGCTCCATATTCTCACTATATGATACTACACGAGCCATAAAAGCCTAGTGTATCAAACATTCAGCAAAAGGTTTTTTTTAGATAGTTTTTTAAACTGTTCCATTAAAATAAAAGATTTTTTTTGACTAATATTTCATGTCAGGCTTTTCAGGGTTAAGAGCTCTGTTGCCTGAGTTTTGTTTTCCACAAAAATATTAGTATGAAAAACACAGATTAACATTTCCATGTCGTTCATATGTGATATTTGTTCCAGATGTTGGATTTGAGATCCCCAATCGTTTTGTGGTCGGCTATGCCTTGGATTACAACGAATACTTCCGAGATCTCAATGTAAGTTTGTAACTAACTTTGTAAGTCAATGTAACTTTATCAACATTGTTAACTGTTGCACTGACTGAAATTGACATCTTGATAGGTTGATTCAGGCTATAAAAGTGTACTCAAATGTTGTTTTTCACTTCTGTCAAAGAGCATTTTAAAAGCTTAATGTGAGAATATCCCCAGACGAAGGACTCACCCCGTGTGTCTACATATTCCAAAGTCTGGACACGACAACTGGTGTGAGATCAGCGGCTCGAGCGCTCAGAGACATGTGCAGAACTTCTCTTTGAAGCATGAGTTTGTTTGCTAGAACTGCAGTGACATATAACTGAGCCGAGCCTGTAATGTCTACCCAAAGCGTGAAATGACAGACAGCATTAGCACTGCGAGAATTAGGGAGGAACAGTCTCTCTGCAGCTGCACAGTTGTCCATTTGTCTCCATTTGGAGGGCCGGTTGCTAGGGGTAAGTGAGCTGTTGTGAAAAATGACACCCACTTTAGAGAATACCCTGGGCTGTTCAATTCAATTATCCAACAATCTAGTATCTATCTCTCACATGCATAAATCATAGACAGTAGCGCCGTTCTGAAATCTAGTGAGCTGCCTACATAGACAGCATTGTCACACTCGCAACATGATGTCTGTAGGCACGATGCAGAAAAAAGTCAATCAAACAGTAATATTGTGATGTATTATTTCAATTTAAAATATATATTTTTTTTTTATTATTTTAAAATATTTTTTTGTGATGTCATCATGCTGTATTTTCAGCATCATTACTCCAGTCTTCAGTGTCACATGATCCTTCAGAAATCATTCTAATATGCTGATTTGGTGCTCAAGAAACTTCGTTTTATTATTATCAATGTTGAAAACAGTTGTGCCTAATATTTTTGTGTGGAAAACGTGGTGTATTTTTCAGGATTCCTTGATAAACAGAAAGGTCAGAAGAACCGCTTTTAATTAAAACAGATTTTTTTTGTAGCAATGTAAGTCTTTGCTGCCACTTTTGATCAATTTAATGTGTCCTTGCTGAATAAAAGTATTAATTTCTTTTAACCAAAATGCATAAAATAAAATACATAGTTAGCATGCAATAAAATAGACAAAAATACATTAAAAATGAGCCCCACATATATTTAAAAAACTTTTGTAGCAATGTAAAAGTATTTACTGTTACTTTTGATCAGTTTGATGCTTCCTTGCTGAATACAATTTTTTATTCAGGAAATCAAAAATCTTACAGACCCCAAACTTTTTAAAAGGTAATGTAATTAAATCATAAAAATGCAAAATACTTTTAAAATAAAAATGATCAAAATAAAACACTTGGTAAAAAGAGTAATATTTTATTAATATAAATATTATATTTGTTTAACTCTATGTGATTTGACCATTAACTGACATTTGATGTGTTAAATAATGTAAATATTTCTCAGGGGGATCTTCAAGTAAAAAATAAGGGGTTCAGTTAACAAAAAAGTTTGGAAATCTCTGAACTATCATATCAGTACTCAGTTCAGTCTAATTAAAGTTGTAGATTATTTTACAAAGTTTTGTATTTTTATGCTTATAGACCCTTTTTCATTTAGTAAACATTGTGACGTTTTTTATGGGCGGAGTTTAGCTTCATTAACGCTAGCTAGCAAGTTTTGTTTGCTTGTCTTTTAACAATGACTGGAGAAAATTCGATTTTATCTGAATATGTAATGTCACTCACTATCTGGGACCGCAATTGTTATTTGAAAATGTTAACTTTTAAAGGGTTAGTTCACCCAAAAATGAAAATTCTGTCATTAATTACTCACCCTCGTGTTGTTCCAAACCCGTAAGACCTTCGTTCATCTTCGGAACACAAATTAAGGTATTTTTGATGAATTCTGAGAGCTCTCTGACCCTCCCATAGACATCAAGGTAACTACCACGATCAAGGTCCAGAAACGTAGCAAGGAGATCGGTAAAATAATCCATGTGACATCAAGGGTTCAACCGTAATTTTACGAAGCTACGAGAATACTTTTTGTACACAAAGAAAGCAAAAATAACGACTTTATTCAACAATTCGTTTCCTCCGGGTCACCGCAGTGCCATTTTGCAGAGTATCCACTGAACGTAAACGGCGTATGCTATTCTGTGTCAGCTGCGTCACGCGGATACGTTGTTTTCGTTCAAATCAAAGCGTAAACAACGTAGAAAACGCTTGACGCAACTGACACAGAATAGCAGTAAATAATAGTTTAGAACGACATGAGGATGAGTAATTAATGACAGAATTTTCATTTTTGGGTGAACTATCCCTTTAACTGAAGGATCCAGATTGGCCGACTCGTACACACTCACTCAATAGATGGACGATCGTGCAGGAGTGGCCTGACACACCTTCAGTACCAGATAGAGAAACCGAGCGCATATAGTAAATAGAAACTGAAGGCATATAAATCTTTAGATGCCTATAACTATGTACTAACAGTGGTAATCAAGCCTGCTTGGAATCTGCTGACATTTCTGTTTAATTTCTGTTTTCATCTAGCTATCTTTGTACATCACTGCACTTGTGATGTGTTTAGGGTCCTATTGAATGGCTTACTGTGATCCTTCTCTCGTTCTCACAGCACATCTGTGTGATCAGTGACAGAGGGAAACAGAAATACAAGATCTGAAGAAGATGATCTCACTCGTACATGAGTATCTGAAGGCTGACTGGAGGATGGAAGGTGTCCGTGGATCTCACACAATGTGTTATCAAACACAAGATCTCCTGTTCTCCTCCTTGCCTTCGAAATGGACTGGTTTCACTGGTTAGAAATTAAGTACTGGGTTACAACTGACTGAATACCGCATGTACCCTATGCATAGAGAAGTAAGCAGAAATAGCACACTAACATACTACTCTCGCTGTAATATATATGTTAGCATGCTATTTAGTCATTAAAGGGATAGTTGAACAAATGTTTCATTGGTTTGGAATGACATGAGGGTGAGAAAATGATGACAGAATTTCCATTTTTGGGTGAACTGTCCCTTTAAGACTAAGTGCGTCTCATTTTAACAAGTGGCCTGGCTGTCATTACAATGCAAATATGAATTGTGTACCATTCAATAATGGAAAGCTGTTTACTTATACTGTTAATTATAAATACTTCACTTTCAATTATTCACCAGCAGAAGCTATAATATGTGAACTACAGCTTAAGAAATTGTTGGCCAACTTTTGTGGAAGTTTACAATTATGTGAATGTTTATACATTTTATAACATTTCCATGTAACAACATTAAAATTTTATGCATTTGTATTTGTCACTTGCATCATTTTTGTTTATTCAGTATTGGACAATAGAGATGAAAGCCTGCTTGTTTGGTTATGGCTCATTTGCTGTGGTATTGTTACTTCAGAAGACGACTCAAACATGCCACACACCTGTACACACACACACACACACACACACACAATGGGATGAAGTGGAACAGAGTTTGCCTGGGTTTGTGTTATATAACTGCGTCTGTTGCTCATTGTTTCTCTGCCCAGCCTCTTCTGCTCGTCTGACGGCTGCTCGTGTTCAGCGCAGGTGAATTATGTGGCATGTTTCTGTCAGATATAACGTCCAGTTTCAGGTGTACTTGTGGTGAAAGCGCCCTAAAGTCATGCACAACAGGTATGACAGTAATATCAGGTTCATATTTGTCACTATACTCTTTAGAAAACTGATGTTGGCTTGACAAAGCATTGTCTGATTAAAAAAAATAAAAATGTTTAAAAGGCCTTGATGTTGAAAGCTTGTATAGTTATACCTTACGTCATTTGAATGCTTTAACCCTCATAATGCATTCAGGTCCGTTTTGACCCGGAAGAGATGCATAGTTTTGTTTTGTTTTTTTAGTTAGTTACACATTTCACGTACAGGTCACTTTGGACTCGTGTATTTAAAAATACTTTTTGTAAAATTTTCTAAGAAGTTATTAGTTCCAGAAAACTTTTGTGAAATATATTTCCCCATGCTTCACACTCTTTCGGAGCTGAATTTTGTGAATTCATGAATATGTTTGCCTATTGTCAAACTATTGCAGCATGAAAAATTGATTATTTCGTTTATGAAAGTAAAATGAATGTTTCGTTTGAAAACTTTTCAGAATTATATTTGCTGTTTTGCTGTTTTTTTTAGAAATACATATGTAGGTTTCATACATTTGTACTGTTTTTGATCAATCATGAGTTTTTTTTATTTTTTTATTTTAATTTAATTTCAATTTAATGATTGAACAATTCCATTCATTCCAATACTGGTAATTCTCAGATTATATGTCCTTATAAATTTTGTACAATTATATATTCATCTGAAATTTCTTATTAATGTTGAGAAAAATATGTATGTATTTTGCAGCAGGTTTTTGGTGAGGTTCATGTGTAGTTTGAAGTTTGAAATTTCAAATTTCTCAATTTTTCAATTAAGAAAAAAGGGGAAATGCAGTAACAGCATGGTAAATCATGGTAACATTCAAACCTTTGGAAGTTGCTGATCAGATACAATATGGTTTTAATCGAAAAGAAAATTAAGTGTTTTATAAAATAACGATTGCTGAGTTTGGTGGATGTAGCTTGAAAATTTGTTATGGTCAAAAAAGGATTTAGTTGTTTTGAGAAGAGCTTGTACAATAACATTGCTCTGTCATTTCGTCAAGCCAACATAATGAGTTGTCATTTTGATGCTGATTAGCAATTGAACAAACTTGCTGACCAAAATGATAGAAACATGGAACTATATATAAATATCAAGAACCTAATTAGGAATTTGGCCACAATTTGCCTTTAGAGCAGCTTTAATAACCAACAAAGATTTACAAATATGTAGAAAGTGATAGGAGAAGCCATGAACACCTTTTGTCTTCATTGTGGTGTTCATGAAATTGTCTTGTGTGTGTGTGTGTGTGGAGACAATTTCATCCTAGAATTTGGGAATGTTATAAGTGATTAATGTTTGCACCCTGATGTACATGGTCCTGTTAAATTACTTGATATTTCTTGGCCATTAAAACCCCTCATTAGACCTAATGACTCCCACAGGACTGTTGTCCATGTCATTAGGGATTTCCAGCATGTTTAACAGATGGCAAAAGACTTTGTGAGATAAAGGCATCCTTTGACTTGTCAAAAACAAAGTCATCCCAATGCATGAAATTAAGTCTTTAATGAGTCCTATCAAGATATGTAGCTTGTTCATTGCTCAGGGCTCTAGAGTACTTTGCCTGAGAGTCCTGCTAAAATTATTTGTTTACTGCTGTTTTGTTCATACTTTGAATTTGAACAAAATCCTAACCACTTTTACTTATATTTGATCTGCACAGAAAGAAAAAAAATCCTAAATGCATCCTACTTTATAAATCAAAGTACATCTTAAAGGGGTCATGATGCTTTTTTAAAGATCACATTATGCTAATATTGCCACATAGTGAGGTAGACATGTGGGGGCGTGTTAGAACGAGCCGTTTTAGGGGGGCGTGGCAGAGTCTTAACTTTGATAAAGAATATCTCTTTGGTTTTGAGACTTTAGTCTTTGCAACTTCAGGGATCTTATCTATGCACAATCAGCTTGTAACACTCCAAAGAGAAAGGAAAACTTGAAATCGCATCATATGACCCCTTTAAATTCAAGTGAACATGTGCAATTCAATATATTAATTCAATTAATTTCAGTACTGTAATTATCACAAAGCAGTTGCTCATTTGCTAATTCAATAACATTAATGCATGTTGTTTTTATCTTTACATTTAAATAAACAATGTTTGATTATTTTTATAACTAGTATATAGTGCAAAATGTTTGTATGCATGCTCTTCATTTGGCGTATGCATAAGAACACTTTCACATAGGTTTTTGCCTTTATAAATCCCGATTGGTTCCTCAATTTTAATGTGTAATTTAGGATCAAATCTGATTGATTTTATAAATCAGGCCTCAGATTTTCTTTTATTTTTTTTACTTGAGTTAAAAAAAAAGCCCAACATTTTTAATACAAAGGGCAAAAATCAACTTGATTGAGGGTCGTTGGACAAAAGTAAATGCTGCATTATATTCAATTGAGCTCTTTTGAGTTGGACATAGCAGCTACATGTACTCACTTTTTCTTCAGAAAATTTGCAACAGACTGACACATTTTGCTGTTTTTGGAACAGATAAATCTGTCTTTGAACTCCATGTTCATTTGAAAGCCTATAATTGACAGATCACGTTAATAGCTGACACGTACTGTACTACTAATTTCAAATCAACCTATTGTGATTCATCTTTGGCACTGCATTTGATGAAATTATTTATTTCAACATCAAAGAGTCTACCCCCTGAAGGCTATGTACACCAGTTTGCTCTTAATGCAACTCATTCTGACTGCAGAATTGCTGGAGGAGCTTCCTGTCGTAACCAGTCTCACAGTTCCTCAATGTTCCCAATGCAAAGCGAGTGCAAACCAGTGCCTACGTGATCCAAAATGTATAGAGTAAGCTAAAAATGAATTAAAATCAGGCAAAACCTAGTGAACTGCCTATAGAAAGCATTTTAGGGCATCATAGGCATATTCACATCACAGAGACTGTGCCAAAAAGCCGGAAGCATATTTATGCGCTCTTCTAAGACGCTTTCTTTTGGCCCAGAGTTTCATACCATTCCCATCATTTACCATACAGAGTTACTACAGTATCAGGCAATACTATTATCTGTTATGTGACCATGAGGAACTAATAAAAGCTAAAATAAGCATTAACGGTCAACTCCTACTTTGTGTCCAGTCTCCACCCAAATTAAAGTAGACTACCACCATTGGCAAAGTTGGTTTCAAGGATGTGAGTCATGGCATATTTTATGCTCCCATCATGTTTAAGGCAGTGAGTTTCCTGTTACAGTGGTGTGTAAGTGGTGCATTTCTGCAATGTGTCAGTTCTGGCCTCTAATTAAAGTTAGACAATGTATTGTGTATTCGACTGGCTCTGCTGGAGGTTGGAGGATTCTCTGTCTAGACTGGGTACTTCAGGAAATGACAAAAATTATTGATGTTGCCTCCTGGAATGTCTGATAGCTATGCAGAGAGACGCACAGGCAAACGAACAGGCCAAAATTCAACGAACAGACTGTAAATATGTATCTTCTTTCAGTCTAAAATCCCTCACTAACCTTGACTGAGCAAAATTGATCATGTAAAGCAATCTTCTAAAAAGGATCCCTGCCAAAAAAAGATGCTTTAAAGCTCAAATACGACTTTAGAGTAACAATATAGACAATAACTCTGAAGATTTGTGCTATTACTTTTCTAAGCAGTCAGATGTATGATTTTTGCCTGATAGTTCAATAAAACAACATGCATTCAGATGGGCCCCACATATATCTGAGGACCAGATTATCATACAGACTTGGGCTCTTTTGACCTGGGCAGTAAGCAGGGCCAGGCCAAGCAGCTGGATAGCAACACACTACAAACTGCTCAGAACACCTTAGCAACCATATGGCCAATGGCAGTGCCACATGGCAAGCAAGCCCCCCACACACTGTAAACATATGGATCCTCATCTACGTGGCTTTCACAAAACCAAGAAAGGGAAAAAAAAAGAAGCACACAAAAGCAACATGAATCTGTTGTCCTGATGTTTTAGTTTTGTTCTCATGATTTGCCTGTTAAATAAAAGCGGGGCATTGATAGAGTGAGTGGACATTCACAATAGAAAATGGGCGGCGCCGTCGAGCCTTATTCATACACCTGACATATGACTCCTGCATTTAAATAGCAAGAGGGAGTTTCAGTGTGCTGTGAAAACAAAGCGGCCCTCTCTCTGTTTGGCTGTTTAACCAGAGTTTTTGTTGGGTTTGTTCACTATTTCCAAGCACAGGCCCTCTCTGAGGTGAATATGAAGTGATCTGCTGTGTGTAGCCTATGGTTGAAGAAACTGTAGTAAACAAAGCTGTGACCTTCCACAATATCATAAAGGGCAGATTAATCTGAGTATGATTAGTAATCTAATCTCTGTGGCAGTCACTCATAATGTCTAAAACACACAATCTTTCTTTTCCGCATTGTTTAAACTGAATTAGTATAGACTCCCTCTAAACAAAGATGGACACTGTTCCTTTATAACTGGCAGGCGTATTTCCAAGTTGGTCACAAGAAGGACATGCAGCTGACTGACATTCTTCTTGGGATGGTTACTTCCTGAGAAACATTCTGCCGCGGCTCGAGCTCCATTTCAGATCCGACTGCAGAGAGAGAGGAATTCCCTGGGCTGGGAAGTATTGTGAAGTCCCTGGTCAGGACGACCTCGGAACAAAGGCCACCCAATCCCTGAAACAGGTGGCCCCTTCGGCTGGTCATGAATGAAAGGAACATTTGTGCGCGCCTCTAGAAACTCAACACTTTTCACAGGGCTCTCTTTTCAAGTTATCGCCCGCTCTCTCTTTCTGTCTTTGTGTTTCTGAATATATACAATGACTTATTTCCAACTAACTGATCCGATCATTTTTTCTTCTAATGAAATTTGTAAGTCTCAAAATATCTATCTATCTATCTATCTATCTTTCTATCTATCTATCTATCTATCTATCTATCTATCTATCTATCTATCTATCTATCTATCTATCTATCTGTCTATCTACAGTATCTGTCTGTCTACACACGAAACTACATATTATGTACTTATACATTATTCACTAAGTACTACAGTATTATTTTGAGCTGTATTCTATTCAAGACTACACAAATAATACAAACAAAAGTAGTGGTTCAAACATGTGCACTACACAAAAACTATATATTATGCGTGCACACACATTTCAATAGTTATGTGTAGTTAAAGGGTTAGTTCACCCAAAAATGAAAATTCTGTCATTAATTACTCACTCTTGTGTTGTTCCAAACCCGTAAGACCTTCGTTCATCTTCGGAAAACAATTTAAGATATTTTTGATGAAATCTGAGGGCTCTCTGACCCTCACATAGACAGTAAGGTAACTACCACGTTCAAGGTCCAGAAAAGTACCAAGATGATCGACAAAGTAGTCCGTGTGACATCAGTGGTTCAACTGTAAAGTTTCTAAGCTACGAGAATACTTTTTTGCTCAAAGAAAACAAAAATAACGACTTTATTCCACATTTTCTTCTAAGATACGAGAATACTTTTTTGCTCAAAGAAAACAAAAATAACGACTTTATTCCACATTTTCGTCTCTACTGCGTCGTTTGTGGACGTGCATTCACGACAGTATCATGACGCAAGCGTGTGGCGGTTGAACCACTGACGTCACACGGACTACTTTGTCGATCATCTTGGTACTTTTCTGGACCTTGAACGTGGTAGTTACCTTGCTGTCTATGGGAGGGTCAGAGAGCCCTCAGATTTCATCAAAAATATCTTATATATAGTTGCGTTCTCTTCCCTCAGTTGTACTACAGGATTCTTCAGAGCTGTGTTTTTCCATGTATAGTTTAATACTCAGAAGTATTAATCTATATATGAAAAAAACTAACTAAAATAAAATATTGTAGAACAATATACAAAATGAATTGCGCATATCACTTATAGGCCTGGTTTCATAGACAGGGCTTAGGTTAAAGCCAGGACTAGGCCATAAAAATAACATTACTCGTGTGCATCTTGAGACAAAACGTATGTCAGTGCAAGTTTCTCTCAGGTAAAACAGCCCAGGCATGCATTTTAGTCTGGGATTAGGTTTAAGCCTTGTCTGTGAAACCGGGGGATATTCTGCTAAATACTGACACTGACTTAAGTATACTGGGATGGCAAAGAGATGATGGATGCAGTGTGAAGCTCTGTCAGATTGTGAGCATAGCAGCCGCTCCTCTTGCGTCCACATTGTGGGGCACAGTGTGTGTGCGCAGACATTCCACAGCCACTGCCAATCGCATGCCAAAACTGCCCGACCCTGCTTTGAACCAGGCCAACATGTGACTCCAGTAATCCAGACAAACAGTTGTATTTGCGAGACAGAGAAAGAGAGAGAGAGAGAGAGCATGCAAAAGGTTTGGGGATTTTGTCCATAGACAAAATGATATAATTATCCTAGATTATAGTTGTCCATGCAACTGATGCAACTGTTGACAGACGTATATAACTGAAAAGTATGCTCTATTGGTCAAGAATAATATTATAATGTAGGCCGACTGTCTGGAGTATCTATACATAAAATACCTATGGCTTTATTTTTGCCTTATGATGTTAGGAAAACCTATATGGGATAAGCCATAAATAACAAATATTTAAAAGTGTCCAATTATTTAGATTTTGTGGAAGAGTATCCCACAAACAGTTTCTTTATTGTCTGGTCAAACTGTGTCACAGGGTGAGATATAAACAACAGCACTGTCTATTTTTTTGTGTTTAGAGACAAAACGTCTGAACAAGACGTTCCAGCCCACACCATTGCTCCATTTGTTCTGGTAGCATATGACAACTAAACAAAGATGGGAGGAGAACATACATCCCCACGGGCCCAGAGTCTGTTGACTTTAACCCTCATCTTCTGTTTGAGGTCTGATCATAAAATATATTATATTTGAAGTATTGAGTTGATACTTGATACTTAACTGATTATAAACAAACTTTCAGTTTTCAACATGCATCAGACATCCAGTATGGAGCAAGTGTTCCAGAGACCCCAAGTAAACATGAATAAATTGCTATGAATTTGTACTAAGATTCTCTTGTTTGTGTACACAATGTAGTGGCTCAGTTTCAGTATTTATTTTATATTTTATTTTATTTTATTTTAAAGTGTGTGTGTTTTTTTTAATTTCAGTTCCCAAACTGCCTCCACACTGAAAACTTGCTATATATTGAATAAAAAAAATGAAAAATAAAGTTTTTTTTTATATGTTAGCTAAAATAATTTTAAAATATAAAACGTATTTTATTTCAGCCAGTTGCCAAAGCAACATTTCTAATTTTTATTGAGTTTAATGTGGTGTAGTAAAATGAAAATCAAACTAAAAAAATAAATAAATAAAAACTATAAGACATATTTAAAAAAACAAACAAACAAACATAATATTAATTAAAAATAAAACACGACAAAATTTGCTAAAATGTTAAGTGAAATTCAAATAAAAACTGGAAATATGAAAATAAAAGCTAATTCAAATTATTAGTGAAAACTATAATGGTATCTCTGATACTAAGATTGAATGGATAACAACAATCACATTTCTAAAAAGTCTGTCTACTTTGTTGCATTACAGTAGGTTAATGCTTCAATAATATAAAACAATATTGTTCACATAAACGCTAGCTGTGTTAAGAAAAAAAACTGAGGAGTGAAAAATAAAAATAAAAATTGTAGAGTTTTTTAAAAAGGGACTTAATAGCGATAACAGATTGTTTGGAGAAAATAGTATTTGCAACAACGCAAATCATTGGCTGAAATTTAAACGTGAAGCGTTAGGAAGAATCTGATTGGATGTAGAGAAAGGGTGGCGTTTCCAAGGATCCCGAGTGCGCTCGAGTCCCGATCCTGCGAGTGCCGTGCGGGTCGAGTCGGACCGGGGACTAGGAAAACTTTCGTGCTGTTTTTATCCATCAAAAACCCTGGGATTGAGGACAAGACACAGACCTATCCTGTCGCTTAATGGGTGTTTTGGTGCGCAATGGACGTTTTCAGCGTTACATCAGCGCTTTATTCCCAACAGGTAGGTGCTGGCTAGCCATTACAATACCAGTTAGCCTTTACTTTGTTGTGCTAGCTACTCATGCTAACCAGAGCCCAAGGTTTTATATATCACTCAAAACGCTCCAACTTCGCCCAACACGCGACGGGCTTCAAGTGTTTGCTCGTCAAAACGAAGTTTGACACTTTTAAAGTGTATGCAAATACAGTCGGTTGTGTTTGAATACACGACATCAATTCACCGCAGAAAGTTTCCAGGGCTGTTAGCCGCTCACACACCAGTTGAGTCTGACCACACCAAACCTCTCCGTTTACAATCCGATTAGGCTCTCTGTCCCGGGTTATCATTTTATTTTAACAAGATTAAACTTGTCTAATTAGCGCGTGTGTTTGATACCTCACGGTGTGATACCTCTTGAGATTTTAATGAAGAAAATGTGAGGCTCACAGGAGAGACTCGCGTTTTGCTGGAATAAGCGATCTTTAGGGCGTTTATATTGGCCGAAGTCTATTGGTTACTACGGTTAACGGGGTTACTACGAGGCACCTGTCAAAAAATAAACCAGAACAAATCGGAAACCGCGTCAAAACGTGTTTAGATATCTGAATGTGTGCAGAGAACTGTGAGATTGATTGCAAATGTAATGTAATTTCGCTCTGAAGATTAAAAATGGATGTTTCACTTAAAACAAACAAACTAGTAAAACCAAAGTGTTGTCAAAAATATATACATAAAATGAAAGTGATATGATAATGTTAACTAGAATTGGTTTTTAGTAAATAAATGTTTCTGAAGGTTTTTGCAGTTTATTAATATAGGCTTTTTTGTTTGATCCTCCAGGGTCTTTTACCCAAACATGTGGAAAACCAAATCCAGTTGGATGTTGAAGTGTGATCTTGGAGCTGATTTGAGGAGATTTCTCTAGATGTGGGCTGCAGTGGTGAAATGATGGCGACTCATTGGAGGAATTCAGGCGATGAGGAGGAGCTGGATTATGCCGGCGCATCTCCGCACTGTGAGGTGAGACCCGTGGTTTATCCTACTGGATGCTTATAGAAGGAAAAGCCCTGCTGGTGGGTCACAATGGAGTTGGATCATTGATCATCATGACCTTTTGGGTTACCAGCTCAGATCTGTGACTCTAACCAATAGGCTAATACCAATTGTGGGCCGACTGAGATGATCTGTCATCCATAAATATTTCTAACCAGTCATGAATTATTGTTTCAATTGAAAATTGTGTAAGTTTGAATCCAGCACATGTCATTTTCAATGAGCTGGTCTCTTTCGCTGATTAAAACTCAACTTGTCACAAATACAGAAAGACATTTTTTGGGCATATTTTCATTTTGGTGGCTTAATATGAGCAATATTTCACACTAATGTTGGAACGTGTGGCACTGGTCTGAAGGAGAAAATCTTTATACTTTATACTTTTGATCAGTGCAATAAGTCACATATCGATGCTTTGCCAAAGCAATTGTGTAAGACACAACAGAGGTCTTTTATGTTATTATAAGAAGTGTAAATATATTTTCGGTTCATTATGAAACTGTAGCGGGACGTGTTTGACCGCCAAAGTGGAATTAATGGGAAACCCTGTTCTGACTAACAGAATTCAGTTGGAAGAATCTCAGCAGTAACATGTTGTTCAGGTCACAAGATTGAATTAAGTTGTGCTGTTGTGCGGCCTGTTGTTGTTTTCACTGACTGTGTGGAATGCAGTGTACAAGCTGTGCTGCTTCCTTTTCCAGATCTGCTCATTATTCCTGAATGCCAGCTGTGAATGTAATGCCTTACCCCCCTGCTCTCATATTGAAGAATTTTTTTTTTTCAAAGTTCTCTTATGTGGTATTATCCATACGTTGCAGTAGCTACTTTGTTTGATGGTTGTATCGCTGAGGTTTAGTTTATAGCCACGTGTGTTGAACCTGTTTTCTAATGTGGTGAGTTTGCATATCAAAATCAGTCTTTTGTCCAGACTGGTGTTTGTCTAGAAGGTGTTTTGATTCTTGATGAACTCTGTTGTTGTCCTGCAAACATGACCCATGTGCTGCTTGTGCATTTTGGCACAAAACCGGTCTGGCTTTTTCCACTTTTTCACAGCCTGGAGATTATTTGCTGTCTGAAATTTCTTTGTGGTTCAAGAAAAACATGAAGGACTGTAATCTGCATTCATAAGTGTGTGCTGCAGAAGAAATGAAATTCTTTGGAAGCTCTTGAAGGAAATTCCCTGGCAGGCGAGGAGCATCCGTTTATCTGCGCGTGAGCTGTGGGGGAAGCGCACACAGTCAGATCGCAGTGCAGCTACAATGCAAACAGCTGGTGTGAAACCTCTTCCTTTAAACACATGGTCAATGTGGGGACCATCTGAATGCTGACTCTGTCAAATAATATGTGCAATATTTCTTTTGCTGTGTAGTTGGGTACTCTGGCTTTCACATTTCAGTGTGGGTTGTGCTGACTTGGCCTTGAATAGGAAGGTTTTTTTCGTTTTTCTGTAAGTTAAGTAGTAACACTGACCATCTTTTCTCCTGCTCTCAGTTTGAGCTGTCAGACATGGTCTGGATCTTATCCTGCGGCTGTGAATGTGGTCACTGATTTGGTTTCGTTTTTCGTTTCGGTTTGTTTTGCTCAAATAAGCAGGGTTTTCCCATTTTAAAAGAAAGTGAAGTGGGCTGAATGGAAAAAGGTAATCGGGTGGTAGTGATTTATGTTGGGTATCGCTGTCCTGCTGTGATATTAGTTCACTCCCATGAATCAACATTTTTGTGCTCAGCTTGCCGAATCTTTCCACTGGCCTTCTGAATGAAGACCTTTGTATAAACCCCTGTCCACATTCTCAGCGGGTTGAAGGTCATCTATTTATAGCATCTGCCGATTTACACTCACATTAGCCCTCCCCTTTAATCTAATATTCAGCACTGTCTCTGTTTTTCTGCTGAAATAGAGTCAAGGGACGGGATGTCTCTCTTCTGCCAGTGGTAGGTCTGTCTTCATTAGGACTTTCTTTCATACTGAGTGATGAGGAAGGGAAACCTGCTGCCTGCATGTTGATTAGATGAGCCAAAAATTGTATGCGTGAATGGGAAGATTTAAGTCTGTTTTTTAGCTTGGTGTTGGTTTTGCGTGGCTCAGCTGAACTTATGTTGATGGAAGACTAAAATGTGGAACTCTGCGTTAACACTGGTTTTTGAATAGTATTTTTTTTTCCTGTTTAGTTTGTTACTTAAGTGACTCATTTTATATGAATAGTCCTTGGTGTAAATAGTACAGGTGCATCTCAATACTGAAATAAATGAACTTTTCCACGACATTATAATTTATTGAGATACACCTGTATTAGGTCATCGTGCTTGGCCTGTAGTGCTCCGTTACTCATTTTCTAAGTTTTAAAGCTCATGATGCATTAAGCTGCACAAGCTTTGGAATATCACAGGACTGTGACTTTTGCACTGTGCATTTTAATGGGGAAAGTTCAGACAAATATAAATTCTGTCATCATTTACTCACCCTCATGTTGTTCCAAACCTGTATGACTTGGTTAAAAAAAAAAAAAACTTCAAATGAAGCAGCTTAGAAAATGTATATTGTGACCGGGGACTGTCAAACTCTAAAAAGGACAAAATGAGGTTTAAGTGGTTTGAATCTCAGTCTGTTTCATGTACAAATCTATTGTAAGGCTTCAGTAAATTGTACTGTTGTTTTGGAGGCTGAGCCTGTGGTCATGATGGTTTTTAATTGTATGGGAAAACATTCTTCAGCTTGGAGGTTAATTAAAACATCACTTGTTGTGCTCCACAGAACAATGAAAGTCATAAAGGTTTGGAATAACAAAAAGGTGAGTAAATGTTGACAATGTTTGTTTTTTGAACTCTGGAAATCCCCACCTCTTCCCAGCTCAGAATGTACTGGACATGGGGAATACATTTTTGTGAAAAAGTAATGTTTAAGTCTCTCTGCATTTCTTGAATTCTCTTCTGTTGTCTTAAGTTGATAGGTCAGTACTTAAAGGGGGTCATATGATGCGATTTCAATTTTTCCTTTCTCTTTCGGCCAATCACAACGCACTAGATAGCTGGCCAATCAGATGACACCTCGCTTTTCAGACCGATGAGCTTTGTAAAAATCGGCGCGTTTCAGAAAGGCGGAGCATAGAGGAGAAATAATAATGTACAGTATGTGGAAAATAATGTTGTTTTAACCTTAAACCGCATAAACACATTTCATTACTCCAAATACACAAAATAATGTTGACTAATGTAACTAGCATTGACTAATCATTCCTTCTACTACTTCACTGTTGGATAAATAACTCATTTTTATGCATTTATTGGTGTAAAAGTTTTATTGATTAAAATTTATTTAAGCATAATCTGGATTAAAGAGATATTTAACCCAAAGTGAAATATGTGTCCTCATTTCCTCACCCTCATGTTGTTCCAAACCTGTCTGACTTTTTCTTCTGCATGACTTAAAAGAAGATATTTTGAAGAATGTTGGTAACCAAACAGTTTTGGTGACATTTGACTTCCATTATATGGACAAACAACACATTTTTATATTTCCCAAAAGAAAAAGTCATATAGGTTTGGAACAATATGAGGGTGAGTAATGATGATGACAATTTTTATTTTTGGGTGGACTGTCCCTTTAATTTAACTGGATGACTTGACTCATTTACAAGAAACAATGAATGAGTGTTTCAGCAATAAACACCTCATACTGAGTATGTTCTGGATGATAGTGATGGGTAGTTGACTCCAAAAGAGTCAATTCCTCGACTCTGAAGAGTCCTAGATTCGGCGTCGACTCCAGCACTGGAATCAGCACTGGAAACCACACTGCATTGTGATGATCTTTTTACACAGTATGGTATTACAATATTTTATACCATATTTACATTAAACGCAATAAATAATATTAAATGCATACTTCTGCATCAACCCTCTGCGCACACCTTGGCAATATTATCGCCATTGGCTAGTAAATTTTTTAGTCGCCAGACTTGATATACTATTTTACACACACACACACACACACACCAAAACAGCTTACACACACACAGAAATTGATAGGCGGAATCGAAATTGTAATTTTACAAAAAGTATGCGATTCCTAACTTTAAGTATCCGATTCTGGAATTGGAATCGATTTTCGATTCCCAACCCTAATTTCAAGGTAATGCCATCTTTAAATTTGACTAATTTGGACAGTCACGCTAAATGTGAGTTGTTTTAATAAGGGGAATTTAAGGCATTGTGTCGGGGGAAAAATACATTCCTGCCCCAGTTTTGATGTAAATGGAGTCGATTCTATCAACTCCAGAGGTGGGAGTCGGAGTCAACTCCGAAAAACCTGGAATCGAACACCTCTACTGGATGATATATTTCAAGATTGTTTGAGTCTTGACCTGAGTTTACTGCCTAATAGATTTAGTTTGAAATATTATCTTCATAATGTGTCACAATAATCTTTAAAGGCACCTTAAAGGACAAAAAATGTAATAATATGAAGCAGAAAGATGCACATGGTAGTAAGAGAGTCAGATATTTGTTTTAGCATTCCTAGCTTCTGACCCTTTTCCCTTTTTCAGCCCTGTTACTGATATGATTAACATAAGTCATATGATTTACTCCTGGGCCAGAAGGCAAAATAGATTCTCAATTCAATAGAGAACGACAAATTGATTCCAGCCACTGCTTCGTGCCTTAAAAAAGAACAGCATGCCAGACATGCTTAGTTCATTTAGAGTTTGTTCATTTACGACGAATAATCACTGACTCATGTAATGACAGAAAATACATTGTAGGGAAAGTATACTGTGTAAAAAGTATACTTTTACTATATTTTACTACAATAAACAGTTTGGTGCGAGCATGGCACACATTATGGTTTGAGTTTTCTGAGTGGTTGTCATTGCTGATGTCTCCCAGTTTCTTGTTTCAAGCCCGTAGGTGCTGCTTGTAGTCATGCTTGTCCTCTGGATGCACCTTTTGTGTGACGTGTCCAGATGAACA